TAAATTCCCCAACCCTACTCATTCATCAAGCTCAAGAGCAGCAACCACAAACCTTAATGGTAATGCCGATGACATCATCATCCCAACAGCCCTGGCCCAGGACCCTGTTTCGTCAGATCCCCACACACTTTTAGCACAACATTCTCCACAACACCCTCGAAGCCTTCTCAGAGCACATGGTTCCCGAATTCCCGCCGGAAGAGCTTCATGTCAAGGAGGCCGGGCTGGAAAAATCCTCCGAAACGCGATGCCTTGGGTTCAGGGTCCACAGGGCCAAGCACGAGAGTCTCGTTAGCAGGTCTTAGGTTTTTGGGAGCTACATTCCCAGAGCACAACACCAGAAACGTTCCCCAGCTGACCAAACCCACATACGAGTAGTAGCTTTTGAGGACGAGTGGCATCCGAAGAGGAATGACCACATCCGAGTTCGCAGAGGGGCAGTTGTGTCACCACCGTTTCAGCAAGCCACATCAAGGGCATGCAAAGCCAAGAGCACGGCCCAAAAGGGTTTGCTACTATGCCGAACATAACCTGATCTCGTTGTCTCTCTCGTGTCGTCCGCCCATGTTGCACAAGGAATGAACAATTACTTCACGTAGTTCTGGCTTCAGAGTATAAACTTGAGAAATGCATGGAATCTAAAGGGCGGGCCTTGGCACACCTAACGCAGCTCTCCACTTCCTTACCGGGCTTAAGGGCTTTACTCTCACGGTTCGAGGGTCCGACGACCATGGCTTTTGGGATGTTGCAGCTTCTGGTTTCTGTTGTCCAAAGGCTCAGTCCGAGTACTTATCTGAACCGCCCAAGCTGCGAAGCAAATCTCAGAGTCAACCTGGTTCAAGTCTTTGGCAGGCTTGGCTCACTCGACATTAAACCTCTCCTGCTGATTCTTGTAAACCCTACCCAGCGATGTACTGGCGAAAGGGATCCCAAAAATGTCCTAACCTGTACTCTCTGTGTCTTCTCTGACATAGAAGCCATCCCATGGCTAGAGAGAGAGAGAGAGAGAGAGAGAGAGAGAGAGAGAGATAGATGGATGGCAGCGCAGCCAAGAAACATTGTCGCAGGAGTCTTCCAGGCGTGACTTCCTCGCTCGATTGGAGGAGCTCGACCTTCGGTAACCGCTGGGTTCAACGGAGCAGCGAAGTAGGGAGCCTTTGACTTGTCTGAGGGCATGAACCTCTACTATACTCAACCTCTTTGGGGGGGGGCAGGGAACTCAGAAACTAGGTAAAAGGGTAATCAGACGAAGTTCAGCACTGGCTCCTCCAGCGTTGAATGTCCGATTGTGGGACTAGGACGCTTCTGTCAAGCTCCGGGCTGCAAGGCCGAGGAAGCTCACGAGCTTGCGACCTCGATCTTAGTCGGCTGCCACCATCTCGCCCCTGTTACTTTGCACCGCCCCAAGATGAGCAGAATAATGCCGCTGTTCTACAGCATAGTCCTGTACATCTTCATTTTCTGCTGGGGCACTGGTAGTCCAAGCAATATAAGGGCTTTGGCACTTAGAATAGGGTATATTCCACTATAAGTATAATTTAATAAAGAACCCCCAAGACAGAATAGGTAATTACAGTCGGGCCCCTACATAAAGCCCAGCTGCACAAGTCGATATGTGGTTGCCTTGAGAGCCTGGTGGGGCTTTCATCTGAAGTGATCTGAGACTGAGACCTTGGTTTCATGCTCGGGGTATCCTACTACCTACTACTATAAGGGGCCTAAATAATTACCATTATTATTCCCTAGATTTCCTGATTTTTTATTAGAATTATAGCACAATATTCCCCAAAACCGTATTCTAATCGTTAAGGCCCCTACACTATGCACACGGCTTGCATGTTCCAGGGCCCATTTTGACTTGGGTTGACAGCGTGGGCAATATTCGTGTACCACACTCAGCATCGCATTCATTTCCATTGCTTGCTTACCCATTTTGCTTGCCGAAAGAATCATTGCAGGAGGAAGCATCACGACTCCGTGCAGACAATGCCCGATTGAAGCAGGCTGCCGAACTTGCAACTTAAATTCGCGGCCGAGTGTGAGTTGGTCCGAGGACCGGACAATCCCAGTTTGCAAGAGCAGCAAAGCAGACAAACACGGAATTAGATTCAACTGGTTCGCAAAATATTGCGGAACATCATGCCAAAACTTTGCGGCGTTCCTTCAGACGGGTCAAGGGTAGGCTGGAAGAGCAGTCACGTAACTCTATTTCCCTGATTGACTCATTTAACTGGCCAGGCTGCAGATGGAGTGCCGTCACTGGGCCCGGATTGCTTAGGGCCCGGCTTCGAAATGCGACAGAGCCCAGTGGAGCTGGTTCGCATGCGTCGTGCTGTGCAGCCGCACGCGGAGATCTGGGATCTTGAAGTACGGCTGCGGCCCTGCCAGAAACCGCGGATGCCCAGGGACCCGCCGCTGCCTTCTCCTTTAAGCCGCAGCCAAAGCCACGGCAGCCTGAGCACGCCCGCTGGTCCTCGAAGAGCCGGAAATCTGGACATCGGAGGAGGCCCAGATATTCATGTATTTTAATTTCTGTCACCATATGCGATGCAGATAGGGTTTGGGAGTCAGTAGACTATCCGCGACATGGGTGGCCAGGGTGCCAGCAGCATGCCCCGTGCTCCAGCGCCATTGACAAGGACACGGTCGAGCAGATTTTGTTCACATTGCACATGTGAGGCAGAAATATGTGCCAGATGCCATCAGTTCAGGCAACAGGTCACAGCATTCCGTGTTCTCGCTGGCGCTCGAAGAGCATCGCATGTAGGAGTCATAATTAAATGGAGTCGTGCAGCTCTTACGCTAGCAGATCTTGCTGTGCTTCATTGATGCTGCACAAAAAACAACCTAGATGTGTCGCCCGTCCATGGGCATTTAGTTTGAGAAAGTAAGCAAGAGCACGTGAAAGCCTGAAGGTCTGCAAGAGACCCATTCTCGAAGAAATTCCGCTTGGTTGTTCTCCGTTAATTAGGGCCCTTTTGCAGCGTATCCCACAAAGCTGAGAGTCTGCTACGCCCCACACTCAGAAAGGGCCCCTAAGGAAGCCCAGGAGCCCAGGAGTGCAGATTTTTGTTGAAGTGCCAGGTAGCATCACCAGCGGAGCTTCCTGGACCCTTGCTTCTGGCTGCCGCAGAAGGCTTGGGGGGGGGGGGGCTTGGAACACCGCCCGTTTTTCATGGTTTTCTTTTTGGTGTTTACTTTGCTGCCTCGACCTCGAGGTGATCCTGGGCGTGTAGAAACCCTGCTGCGGCGCACCGGCCAGGCGTGGGGATTGAGATGTTTGTTGAAGTCAGGGTTGAGAGCTGAAGACATGCAGTGGGGGGAACTCAGGCCTTGGGCTGCAGCGTCGGGGTGATTGGTAGAATGTGCGCTAGCTTATACAGGATTCTCATGCGTTTGGTTGACGGAGAGCTGTGCTAGCACAGTGCCACTTGTCCTTGAGCAAGGGCCCAAGAAGCACTCTAGCATACTGAAACCTACCCACACTTGTAGGGACATTGTCCTCAATGGTTTAGGTTCACGTGCCTTTGGGGGCTCATGCTGCCATGCGAAACTAGGAACCTCATGCTTCATATCCGTTTAGTGATCTTTTGACGAGGGTGTTCTCAATCATAGGTTCCTTCCTTCGCTTGTTTTCGGCCCCAAACCAATTCACCCGCCCGTAGTCTTAGCACCCCGACCACGCATCGAGAGACCTCATCTGGCAAGTCCCAGCTGTGAGAGCGTAAACCAACTCACCCTGAAGCCATATACTCGTGCCCTACAGTAAATAAACCCCAACGAGCTAAGTCCTAAATTGCTAACACTTAAACGCGAAACTCCAAATGCAGTGGGTAAGCCGAGTTTATTGGATCCTCATGGAGACGCGAAACCTTGTGTATACCCCAAAAAAGTAGCCGATAGTGCCCCCTATAGAAAACCTTATAATTAGACATTTCGAGAACCATTACTCGAATAACTCTAAACACCGTCCAGCACTTAACAACAAAACATTAAGCCCGAAACCCCAAACCTTAAGCCATGCCTGCGTGAGCGAGTGCGTGAGCCGAAACCCTAAACAAGAGATCTGGCAGCTACAGCTCCCTTACAGTAACCCTGACGACTCTAAAGCCCCGAAAACATTTACAAGCCTTTAAACCCTAAGTCCGAAACACAAGATCCACACGATATTCGATAATCCCTAAACCCTAAACCTGTCCGAGCCGATTTGGTTCGCCTCATGTAGCCCTCCATAGGCCGCACCGGCGTGCAGACGGAAAAAGAACCTTCAAAAACAAAAAACTGTCCGAGCGTGAGCGCCGAAACCTGTAAGCCACACCAAGCCCTAAACTCCGACTAAAGGATCTACGCTAATCAGAAAAGCACCCCAAAACCCTAAACCCTCAACAAAAAAGGGCAAAACCCCCAAGCCCTTTAAAAAATACATACCTCAAACTCAGAATCTGACCTGGTCGGCCTTGTCCAGGTTCCAAGAGACCTTGGCCTGGCGTTGATGGTGGCAGCGAGGTGCGGCTGCGCCGAGGTTGGGGGAAAGTTCGCCCAAAAAGAAAAAGGTTTAGGGTTCAGGGTGTATAGGGTTTAGAAGTTTAGGGCTTGTACCCTGGATGCAAAAGGGTTTGTATGTATCACTGCTTTCCGGGCTTCGGATCGTGACACCTTGGACACCCAAGCCCCAGGCCCTTCAAGAACTCTTACAGACCTAAATAGCAGGCCGAAGCCCTCAATCTTGAGACCCCCCAGGTTTGTTCCATGCTGCTGGAGGGAGGAGCAGACCTCCACGCCGCTGAAGGCTCCCTTTTCGTGAGCCCTGCAAAGGTGAGTTGGCGACTATAGGGTTTAAAAGGGCTTGCTTTGGATCTTTGTCTTCTTTTTTAGGGCTTTGGATTTTGGGGTTTTGTATAGGGCTTCATTAGGTGTGTTTCAGGGTTTCCTATCACACTACTTTCAAGGATTTCGTGTCCCCATGATGTCTAAACCCAAGCCAAGCCTGGGCCACCACGATGGCATTTCCGCTAGTGTGGCCAGGTGCCGGCAGCATCGCTCTTGCTTCGGCCTGCTTGCGCCCAGGTCCTGAACTTCGTCCGTAGGGTTTTGGGGCTTGTGTTTCGAGTGATTACGACTGTAAGACACCCAAACAGCCCACACCCAACATCCCTAAACTCCACTTAAACCCCAAACCCTACAACAAAATCCTGCCAAACCCTGAACCATGCAAGTAAATCCACCCAGGTACGGCCATGTCTCAGTGGTGCGCTGCCTTCTGCAGTATAGCGCTCATCCGGAGCTGACTGACGAGCGCGGTCGGCTACTGGGCAGCTCTCAATAGCGTAGTGCAATTTTTCTGTTTTCAGATGGCAAAGCAGAGAGTGAGAGGCTTCAGAAACGATGATACTGTAGAAACCTAAATAACTATCAATATTATTCCTTGGGGTTCCTCCACGTATCTATATTCTAAAGGAGCCCACAACACCCTATTCCAATCATATTCAGGCCCCTGTAGTACTGGACGGCGTCGTTTCTGTGTGGGCTTGTTGGGCTTCAGCTGCGGAGGAGGTGCCTGGATGAAGCTTTAAATGGATAAGCAGAGAAGCCGAGGAATGCTTTTCACTTGGCGACGTGGCTGATACGTTCGCGGGTTTAGGGAGTACTGTGAGGTTTGGGTTTTTTCTCTTGCCTGATTCCATCTAAAGGAGTGCAGAAACTATCAGAACGCAGTAAGAGGCCTAGCCGTCCCATTCATTCCTCCTTTTCACTTTGGCTTATCTTGGTGTCCGTCTGCCCCGCAGCCACACGAACACATGGCTAAATCAGCTTCCAGCTTCCTGTGGGTTGGTTTGGCGAGTACAGGCATGCTGCAGCAGTCCAGAGATTGTGCGCGACCTGCTTGGAAGCAACCGGAACCTTGCCTTTCTGAAGGCACAGTCTGGTAGTGAGTTGTTCTTTTACTTTGGACTGTAGAATTTCTAGGATGCAGGGTCGGGGCGTAGTTCCCCGAACGGCACCTTCCGTATGCTTCGTCAGGCCAGATTCTTCCCTTGACACGTGAGAACGGCGAAGTTGCAATTTGGTTTTGTGGCATTGGTCTGTGTTTCTTGTACGAACATATCTTCTGTAAGCGCGGGTTATGTCATGTAGCTATATGTATACGCTCGCACACGCATGCACTTGCACACAAGCACACATAACCATATACACTTACTCCCAGCACGTGCAGATGCAAGTAAAGCACATTGTTTAATTTTTAAAGAGTGTATGCGTTGCACACAGCTGGACGTTGCAGCTGAGTCAAACTATGCAGGCCGAAGACAGGGCACGCTCGCCCGAGCTTCGGCCCAAAATTGCAGCATGCCGCCAGCGGGTTCAGGGTTTCTGGGCGATAAGGCAAGCCTGCTGGAACAAAAACCGCCAAAGGGAGCATCGCATGGCGCAGTTACCACTAACACACCTTGGCCTGACGGACAATGACGGGCACTTGGGCTTTTTGCAAATTTGAAGCCGGCACGAGGGCCAGTGAGCGAGACACATCCGCATTGCAACATCGTATGGGACAGAGGAGCACAGGAAGGGCCTGCGGATGGACAGCTTGCCAACTCTTTGTTTGGAAGGGAGAGCCTGCGCCCATGACTGCTTCAATACGATTCCTCTGACCGCACAAATTGACTCCAATCCGGAGTTTAACAGTTTGTTCAGGCTTAATTACCGCCATGACTCGTGAAACGCGCCTGATTTTCATTACTACAGCGCATAACTGACTGACACCATACGGCATCAAAAATCTTAAAGTTTGTGCCATGAAGAACCTTAGTAGCCGTAGTACTCAAAGCTGGGGATTCGAACCCCCCCGAAACCCTACACCAAATTCGCGCAGGACGATCAGGGCCGCAATCCGCTTTTCTACGCCATGGGTAACAGCCAGGAGGAAGGGAAGATGGAAGTCCTGAAACACTTGCTGGAGGTGAGGTGCAGTGCCCGTGAGGCTGGGATCTGAAGATGGCTGTCTACACTCGGAGGTTAAGCTTAGTTAGCCCCTTAGGTAGTACAAGCCAGCCTGGAGTCAAGCGATGGTAACCATGTCAGACTCAGAAACCCTGAACCCTAAACCCCAAAAAACCAGAGTGCTCCCGTTGACATGCCTCGGCCAGCTTGGCATTTCGGACTCCTTCGGGCTGATGGAAAAGGGGCGATCAAAAAAAAAAACCAAAAAACTAAACCCCTGCACCCTAAGCCCCTCATGAAAAGTCGAAGAGTCCAATAGCCTCGGTCAGGTGGATGTCTTTGGTCGGTCGGCGCTGTACTACGCAGCTCGTTCAGGCCGATAGCCGTCTAGCTTAGTGTATCTGTATCCTTTGTGCCGATATATGTGACATATGTCTATCGATGTCTCCATTTATACATGTATGTATGTGTGTGTGTATATATATATTTTTTTTATATGGCCAGACAGAGAGAGAGAGAGAGAGAGACAGAGAGAGAGAGAGCGACAGAGAGAGAGAGAGAGAGAGAGCGAGAGAGAGAGTTCAGATGTTGGTTTACACTGGATAACATATGTATACGAATGTGAATACTAAAGTGAATATCAATTACAACACAGCACAACGTGCAAAGTAGTATCAGTACGATATTTAGTTGCATTGTGTCATGTTGTAATTTCAAAAAAATATGTAGAGTCATATACTACTACAGACAGAGCAAAAGTTTCTGCTCTAGTTATTCAGGAGCCCCAAGCCCTGAACCTGGTCCAGAAACCCTCAACCCTGAACCTAAACCCTGAGACCGTGGCGCTGTGGGTTCCTGTCGGCCGCAACACGAAGCCCTGAACCCCAGGAGCCGCCAGGCATCGCAAAACCCAACTGCAACCAGGAACGTTTTGAACCCATGATCTTTGCAAGTCGGTATAAGGTCTACACTTAGGATTACATATGCATAGGTATATGCAGATATAGGTTGATAGGTAGGTAGATGGATGGGTAGATAGATACGTATGTGAGAGACAGAGAGACATTCAGATGCAGCGTACACACTCCATCGCATGTATCTGCACCGATTTAAGTCCAGGCACTTGTATGTGCACACAAAATCAACTTGCCTGGCCCTACGCCAGGTCACATGAAAGTCGTCGCGCTACTGCAGCAGGCCGGGTTCGGTGCTTTAGGACTTTAGGGCTTCCTCATGATCCTCATGATCATCCTAATGTTTTTTTGGTGTTTGGGTTTATTCTTGGGTTTATAGGCCCTATAGGGCTTTAGGGCCTCAGGGTTTCCTAATGGTCGTGGGTTGGGGGATTTGCTGTTTTGGGTATCGGGGGTGTTGACAAGCAACGTTGTAACAAGGATGCACTTGTTGTAGTCTTCCATGCAAGCGTCGCATGTTGTCCCGAAGCTCCCCTATGTGCGAATGAATATGTGCCTGCTGGTATGCGTGCGTGCGACATGGTACGGTTCGCTACGCTACCATACAACACCATACAACACCATACAACACCATACAACACACACAATACAATACTTACAATATGTACAGTACTGGACATACCTTACGTACACACTTTACACTACAATACTGACAGCGATCCCTGCAATACTTACATTACATGACATGACGCAACATACAAAACCACCTACTCTAGTTACCCTGCCATGCCCATACCGTACCACTTTCCATACCATACCCTGGGTGCAATCATGCGTGCCTTGAGTACGGCTTTGGGCCAGGGGGCAAACTCTCGGTTCGCAGGTCGCCGGTATCACTTCCCATTCAAAGCCCAGAATCTCAGAACCCAAAACCCCTAACCCCTATAACCCTTACACCCTGAGTACTAAGTACCAAAACCCGAAATGCAACCTGGGGTTTTTTGCCAGGCGACCTCGGACATTCTCAGGAAAAGAAGCAGCGCAGCCGTGCAGAGCTCAGCAAGTAACGAGTTTACCGGGCTTCCGGGGTTTGGTTTGGGGTCTTAAGGCGTTCTTGCTTGCAAGCCTGCAGCAGAAGGGTTCAGGAGCATGGCAAGAGTCCTGCTTGCGAGAGTTGGGTGTTTGGGGGGTTGAGGGAAGGATTCCGAAGGGCTTTTGTGAGGAGCTTCGGTCAAAACCGTGCTTTTTGTTTGGTTTACGGGGGGGAAACCCTTTGGCCGCTGTGCTGTTGTAGAGGCCTGAGGCCAGGGCATCAGATTTTCGGATGCCTTCGCTGTGTAGGGATTCGGAGCTTGAGGATTTCGGCGGAGTTGGGTCCCATGGGTCACCCCCCGGCCGGCGAACCTCGAAAGAGGTCAGCTTAGGCAGCTCTGATGGCTTATGCCTTTTGATTCTCAGAAAAACTTAAACCCTAACCCCCCCAAAACTTCTTGCAGAGGGATGTTGTCTCCAACAGCGGACCTGTAAGAAGAGCACAAGCCAAAGCGTCTGACTCCCAGACTTAGACTCGAACATTTGCTGTGATGGGAATGGGAACAGAGGGTAGTAAAGAGCAGTAGCAATGGCAACAGCAGTCGTAATCGTAATAGTAATCGTAATAGTATCCATGACATTGGCAAGAATAACAGCAATAAGAGAAGAATCTGTTCCTAGGCGAGGGAAGCCGCAGAGGCTCAGAAAGCCGCTGCGAAGGTTCAGGCAGAGCGAAGGAAATGGGAAGTCACCCAGGTTGCCAGGGCCGCGATGGCTGAGGAAGAGCGGAAGTCACGTGAAGTGGCTGAGGGAAGAACAAAGGCCTTTGAAAGAGAAGCCGAAATCGCTGAAGTGAGGAGAGTCCAGGAAGTTGCGGAGGCCGGCAGGGCTGCTGCAAGGGCTGAGGAGGCTCGACACAAGCGCGAAGCGGCCAAGTTTGCAAGGGCTGCCTCGGCAACTGCAGCAGAGGCGGAGAAAGCGCAGAAAGCTGAAGAAGCTGCGAAAGCTGCAAGGGCCCTGGGAGAGCGACAAAAATTCAAAGCCGCCTTGGCCGTACTGCCTGCTGTCAGGATGGCCGAGGAACGAGCTAAAGGCTGCGAACTTTCCATGGAGGTGGCTGATGACATGGCTGCTGAGGCAGAAGCTCGCGAGGCTCGCAGTCCGGCCGAGAGACTTGAGACCATCGCCGCAATCGCTGCTGACCTTGTTACACAGATTAACAACCTGCAGCTCGAAAGCGCAGTAGCTCCGGCTACACAAGAAGAGCAACTCAACCACGAGGCAGACAGTGTCGCTCGGGAAGATTCAATGGATACACAACCGCCTCTGCCTCCACCATCACTGCCTCCAGACGAGCCACTCTTGCCAGCACCTGCGGAGCCTCCGAAGGAGGATGTTGAGAAGCAAGACGAGGAACGGAAGGACGACACTGAAAGTGCCGTCCAACTTGTTGCCGATGCTGCAACGGTTGAAGAAGAGGGCTTGATGGCAAAGGAGGAAGCCACCGAAGCGGAAAGTTCTGTCAAAGAGGAGGAGCCAGGCAAGCTTGAGGCTCCGAGGAGGCAAGAAGCGCAAAACCAGCCTGCCATGGCAGAAGCAGCAGAGGCTGAGAAAGATCAAAGCAAGCAGGAAGCCCCACCGGCTTCAGAAGCTCCCTAGACCCCGAAACCCTGGACTCAGTTGCCGGTTCCCTGAGTGTCAATTCTTGTAGAGAGAGACTAGAGTTGAATCAGAGTTCCAAGCAACAAGGAGTCCTTGGCAAAGCCTGCAAATCCTAGGATCCCCAATGCAAGGACACCGCCCCCCCGCCCCCTTCAAAAGGAAAAGGGACCCCGAAGGCTCAGAGACTGCGGGAAGGTCGGGCCATTGGCTGCCAAGCAGCCTTGGCCACTGGACCCCAAGCAGACAGTGCACAAAAAGAAAGCTGTTCGCTGTTGTAGCTGGCTGAATTTCTGTGACCGCTCCGTGTGCTGCTGCAAACCCTGTTGATTCTCAAGCCTCAAGCATCTGCACAAGACCTCAATGCCTCAGGGCCCGAACCCTCGAACGCAACTTCTTGCAAGTGCTCCGGCTCTTACAGCTCGAGGCCCTGTGCTTATAACGTTTCCTTTACAGGTAGACAGTTAGACCGATGCCTGCCCCGCCGCCCCTGTGGCTCCTCGAGGGCCGAGGCTGATAGCAGACATGTTCAGATTCAGAAAACTACAAGGATCTCCGAAGAAATAGCAGCTCACCAGCTTTACCACCCAGTCTCATCCGACCAACCTACGAACCTATATACTTGCTTGGAAGGCATGCAACCAGTAATTACTGCGCAGATGTACATCGTAACTAGGCCCTAGGCATCAGTAGAGCATGGCGTAAAGATGGTCGCAAGGATAGCACTTCGCGGTAGCGTTGCTACTAGCAACACTCACAACACTCTGCCTTAGTACCAGTAGCTTTGAGCTGAAAAATGCCACATCACGTCTTGATTAGGCTGCCTTAGCCACAGAAAGTCACCCTATATAATTCAGCAAGGTTTGGGGATTACATCCTAAGCAAGAGTAACGGACACGTGTCTCGCCATCTTATTGTCTGTCACGTGTTCTAGACTCTAGACCGTATACACAAGAAAAATAAGCCGATCTGTTTTACATGGATCAGACATACCTTGGCAACTAGCCCGAGCGACATTCTCATCATCTGGCAAGGCGGGTCGGGCTCGGACGGTGCTATGTACTGCTACCTCAACCTAGGAGCCTCGATGTTATGGTTGATGATTCTTGTATGATCCTGGTGCTAGTCAAAATCGAAGTAGTTCTACGGCACATTGGTGTAACATCTATCTGCATTGGATTGTCTGAGGCTCCCACCGTTGCTGTTTTAGATGTGTGGAATCGTGATGAGTAATTTAGGGTATCCGCGTCATGGATGGTATGCAAAAGCAAAGAGTGCTGCGGCAGTCACTTTCAAAAGCCGCTTTGCCGGACGAGTTGTCGCGCTTCTCAAATTCTTGAACAAGACCTCCCGGTCAGCGGCACAGGCGCTACCCTTTGACCCCTGCCCACTGCCCCGCTCTCGAAATTACCTGCATCAAACAACAAAGGCCCGCTCTGAACCAAAATCCTTCCAGCAGTATGGGGCGTGCCTTTAGGGTTTTAGGTTTTTTGTTTGCACCCTCGCTTCTGCCTTCGTCCTGCTGACGGCTGACGAACTCCAATGGCCTAGCGCCACCCCACGTCAATGCTTCTGCCAGGAGCAACTCCACTGCTTCTGTCTGTCGGATTGGTCACGATGATGGCGGTGATGCTGATGATGCTGATGCCGTATAGTGATCATGCTGATGCCGAAGATGAGGATAAGGACACGGACGAGGATGACGGTGATGATAGTCTGGATGTCGATGGTGATGGCGCTCGTGTCGGTGATGACGGCGCTGCTGATGAAGATGATACTGATGATGAGTGATACGAGTTCAAGCATGTGGAGGATGACGACGATGATGGCGATGAGGCCCTTACAACTTACAACCCTGCAATCCGAAGGCCAGAATCCCCGAACCCCCAAAACAGCCTTGCATCCTAAATCCATCTAAACACTAAACCCCACCACGCTAAAGAGCCTAAACCCTGCGAAGCTCGAAAGAGCCTGTGTGAAAGGACCTGAAAGAAGCTCCCAAAGTCTGAAGGGTCTTTGGCGAAATAGGGGACACTGTAAGGCATACTATAAGGGCTGTTAGAAGGAACAGCCATAAAAGTAGAGGGGATACTATGAGGGTTATAAGGAGCAGACACAAACTATAGGGGATATTGTAAGGGTAATTTTATATTAACTATAAGGAATACTCTACGTTTTTGTTGCGTCCGTGTCGTGCTACTGCCTTTGTTCGCAGCCTTCCCAGGGCTTCGGAGCCTGGCCGGCGAAGCCGCCAGCGCCGAGGACCGCCGGCCATCCCAAGGTTTGTGGGGTTTTGGGCTTTAGGGGTTTAGGGTTTAGGTTTTTGACTTTAGGGTTTTAGGGTTTGGGCCAATAGTGAACACGAGCGGTTCAGTGTGTCCAGGCGAGACTACGCAAGCCTGCTGCAAAAGGGTTTTGGGTTAGGCAAGCTTGACATTTCGAATGCTTGGGGAGGGAGGGAGAGAGAGAGAGAGAGGGAGGGAGGGAGGGAGGGAGGGATTTAGGGGGTTCGGGGTGTTGGATTCAAGACTGTAGGAGGTAGAACTCAGGCGGGAAAAAACTTGGACGGTTTGATCTAAGGCCTGAACCCACCAAAGATTTATGCGAAACGTGATGACAGGTTAGTCCGGTTGTCAGGTTTATGTGGGTTCAGGGACTTCAGGATGTAGGGTTAAGTTGAAGGTTGGAGAGGCTTGGGCTTGTCCGGGACAGGTAGAAGAAGGCCAAACAGAGCGATCTCACCCAGGTGTGGGGTTTATTACGGAACTCTGGCACCCCCCCCAAACCCGAAACCCCAAAACCCGAACTGTGATAGGTAGCTCTTGGAACCCCAGGAGTCCAAGCCGACTTTCCTTTTTTTTTCCTGGCCGACCTGCTGAGACATGAGGCATCGCTCTTGGCTTGTAGGAGACTTTGGGGCCTGATGTGGAGATCGAGCTTCTAGAGGGTTTTTTTCCTTGTTTTGTATGATGTCTACTATGTACTTTACGTATCATATTACCATATATGATGGGGAATCCCTATTCGATGCTAAGAAGCATAGACATGCAGTTTCGAGTTTAGGGTCGAGGATGGCTCTGGGCCAGCCGCCGTTTCTTCTCAGAGCTGGAGAGCATTGCCGCTTGTGCCCACAAGCGCTTAGTAGGGCTCACGAGTTAGGGGCTTAGGGTCCAGGGGCTTAGGGTTTAGAGATTAGGGTTTAGGGTTGTCTATCTGGACTGACAACCAAACAACCTTGAAGGGAGCTTGCTTTGCACATGGATGGATCTGCTTGTGGAGCCCAAAGAATGGCTTGATGCACTTCTAGGGGCTGGTTTAGGGTTTCGGGTTAAGGGGTGGTTTAGGGTTTTCGGGTATAGGGCCTTAGGGTTTAGGGCTGCAGCGGAATCCTATGCGAGAACCGGATTGCTACTGACTGCTGCGATGTCCCTCCCCCCCCAACCTTCGAAGCAATTGGCCCCTCAGAACCCCGCTTGAGGAGCAGCTTCGGGTGAGAGTCCTTGTAGTTGTTTTCTTGAGTTTCCACCCCTAGGCCCACAGTTCAGAAACCTCCGGACCCCTCAACCCTCATCCACCCACCACCGTTTGCGCCAACACTGGGATTGCCATTGTGCGGCTTGAGCACCAAAGATGCGAAAGCCGCGAGAAACCTGCAGTAGGAATGCTATAGCCCTACCCTACACCTTAAATCCCGAGGGAAAAGGGAAAAACCCTCTAAATCCCAAGCCCATCTAAGGCCCGGAGCCGGAACCATAGAGCCCCAAAACCCTACGTTCCACACGAAATTTTAGAGGCCGAGCCGTCCGGCTCTTGCAGTAGCTTCCGCAGAGGCCAGGAAAGTTTTGCAGAAGTTTAGAGGGATTCTGTCGGGTTGTTAAGGGCTCATTTCTAACGTTTTTTTGGGTCTCGACTGTCGGTTTGGCTTTAGCCGTGGACCTGTGGCGGGATCAGCGCGCAGTACTTGCTAGCTGGCCAGGATGCGGACGGGAGTAGCATGCCCATCATGCCTAGCACAGTGCAAGGAGGAATGCCAAGAAGGAGTCGCACAAATTGAGATGGATTGATATGGCACGTGTCCGGATAGTGAGTGGGGGCATCCGCCTCTGCCTGTCACGGCTCGTAGCCTGCATGCACCCTCTGACCTCTTCCGTGAGTGCAGCCTGCATGGTCTGTTTGCCGACTACTTGATGTAATATATTATGATACACCGAAACATAGCAGAACAGAATATCTCTTATGATATGATATGATTTAATACATAGCAGTATATAATATAAATATACCAGTCTAAGAGAACGCAGTATTACGGCCACCCTTCCACCAGGAAGCTAGCGTACACCATCGGCTTGCTCAGCTGGAGGAGTCAGAGCTTGCAGCCCTTGCCCTTTGGTGTTGCCTTCCTTCGAACTTCTCAGACAGTTACCAGACCTGAGCGACAACCCCTGGAGAGAGCCCTGCAAAGCTCGCGTGGGCGAGGAAGAAGTGGCACAACTACGAGCAGACAATGCTCGATTGAACGAGGCCATCCAATGGACATGGCGCAGCTAAGCGTTCTCGGGACAGCCGAGTGCACGTGGCAGCAGCATGAAACAGTTCTTGGTTTCTGGAAGCTTGCCACCTGGGTTCCATTTGGGCGGCATGTAGGCGTAGACAGGGCAGTGTGGGTATCTCCGTCTAGATCCTGAAGCGCTTCGCAATATCAGGGCAGAGGCTCTGGACTCGTTTCCGAGGGTAACGAGTGGTCAGTGAGAAAGCCAGAGCTCAAGACAGAACACTGAGATACCGACATCAGCCCTAGTGGATATACCCAAATAAGCCAAATTCAAAGAGGAACATAAGCTCCTCTGGAACTCCCACGACCAGGCCCTCCTGCAGCTGGGCACCGAACACGAGATGCGCCAGAGCTCCGTGGGCTTCGTGAGACAGCCGGGAGCTGTGCCACCAGACAACAGGCGGCCAGCTCAGGTTTCACATAGAAGTCGAAGCCCTTAACCCCAAGT